CCCATCTGAGCTGCAATACCGAGGAGGCCCCCTCCTAGAACCCCAGAGGACCAAAAAATAGGTCCACTAGAGGACCAGGGGAGGGCCACCTCCAGTGGTTATAATGAGATATCAATGTAATAGACACGAGCATGGTAAGGCAGCAGTAAATTCAGGACATACAACAGAGTGACCTGGGACTGTGACTCAGCATCCAGCAAGAAGGTTCATCAGGCTTCGCTCCTTGCATGAGAAGGGCCAGGGGCATTACGCTGACTGGTTCGGTTGCGGGACTTCCCCGACCTGGAGGCCCCTGGCGGAAGCGGAGCAGAAAGTGGACGGTCTTCTGAAAAGTCTAGCCAGTTCGGGATTGGTATAGCCTCTGCCCCCGGGAAGGAGAATAATCAGGCAGTTGTTGAGGGCGATGCAGATGAAATAATGAGTCGCCTTTCCACACAATAAGATGAAAAAGATGTCCCCACGTGTAAGAAGCATCAGACGAGTGGATGATTTCCAACTAGGGCCGCAGAGATCGTTGCATGCGGAGGGTGTGTCTGGAAAGGCCGGGCATAATTTGAATGTGAGCGCCATCAAAATCCATAGGCCCCTTGTGCCAGGACTGGCGCAGAATCTCCTCCTTGATCGCGTACAAATGACCCGACATAACACATCACGGGGCGGGGAGTTAGCAGAGGTTGGTGAACGGATACCCAGGACACGATGTACACAATAAAATTCCATGACCGCTTCAGGGGGTTTATCCAGGTAGTGATTGAGGATCGCCAGGACTGTAGAGCATAGGTCACGTCCAGCTGTAGCTTCAGGAATGCCCCACAGACACAAATTGTTGTGTCTGTTGTGGTTTTCGCCATCATCTAGCCAGAGGAAAGCCGTAGTGATCTGTGCACCCATATCTGAATGGGCCGACTCCAAGGCTGATATCCATTGCGTCAGGGAGGCAGTGGACTCTTCTATTGTAGACACTCGTCCATCCAGGGACATCACTATCCGCCCAATGTCCTGAACTTCCTGTCTGAAGTCCGCCACTATCTTCGCAGCCATGTCCTCCAGGTCTCCCTTCGCAGTGAGGCGCGGAAGGATCTCTCTCCAGTCCCCCCTCTCCTACCTCAGCCACATGATCCCCGGAGTCAGCGGGCGGATCGGTAAGGAGATCGGTGATGGAGGCCGATCACAAGCTGGATCTGCTGCGTCGGAGGGAGGCGCCACCAACTTGCCCCTTGTTTTGGAAGGAGTGGGGCCTGCTGTCGCAGAGTGGGTAGTCGCCATGTGCGACGAGCCACCCACTCGGACCGAGGGGGCGAAGAAGCCTGCCAGGTCAGACTGTTGGGAGCTCCGGAGGTGCGCCTGACTCCCCTGTGCCCGTGACATGCAGAAAGAGGGGAATTATCGTCAACTGAAGAGTAGGCCGGTGCCGGGAGATGCAGAGCTCCAAGAAGACACGTCTTCACGTCGCCATTGGTAAGCCACGCCCCTTGGGCCCTTCTTTTTAACATCCTGTGAATAGTCTCAGAATAGCATCACTCTTGCACCTGCAATAGCTATAGCTCCCAATTCACGGGCCTTACGGAGGATTGACTCCTTATCTCTATAGTTAGCCAATCTAATCAGCATACTCCTTGGTAAGTTCCCATGTACATGAGTGTGTGCAGGTATTCTATACGCACCCTCAATCATAAACATAGGAGATAGACATTCTTTTCCTATTGTCTCCAATATCAATTTTTCCATAAACGCCACCGGATTTAACCCCCCCAGTTTTTTTAGGTATTCCCACCATTCTGATATTATTGCGTCTTGCTCTGTTTTCCAGTTCTTCAATTTTACGGGAATTAACATTAACTTTTTGCAAAGCCATTTTAAGATCGGCACATATAGAGATATCTGCATCCTCCAACGTATTAATTCTGTCCCCTGCCTCTGTCAGCCTCTCTCTAATCTTTTGCATATCTTGTCTGAGAAAAGATATATCTATCCGCATAGCTTGTATTTGCTCCGCCATGGAAGTCACAATGCTGGTTTGTTCTGCCAGCAGCACATCTTTAAGAGTGTGTCCCCTGGGGCGTGCGGATTCAGTAAAAGTTACTGTCTATTAGATGTATCCAAAGTCTCCTCTGTGCCCCCCCCCCCCCCCCCCCCAGCACCCCGTCAGCCCTTCCAACAGGGTGGTG